TCGTCAGTATGTATCACTATCACTTAATCGCCGAGGCCTTAAACAATCTGCCTAAACCACTTTGTCCATCACAGTTTTTGTTGTTTTCTTAAAACGCTGCATTAAAAGCAGCCAGTTAATCTCCTCTAAAGACAATCCTCACTAAATTTAAGCACGTTGTTTATTGGTTTAGAAGATTATTTTAATCCAGACATAAAAATAGGTGAAAATAGTGTTGTGAATTTAAAAAAAACATCTCGTAAACATGATGCTTTCACGATAAGTTGACAAGAAAAATAATACTACGGTAGGAAAAAAAAAAAAACTCTCCTCAAACTTTGCTCTTAGTTTTCAGTTTTGGTGAACGTCGCTAAAATACAGCTTCCGATTTCACTTGCAGAAAGCTTTTGAATTGGTATCAAGAGGTTTGAAAATTGCTCTGGAGTGCACGACTTGGGGGGTTTTTAAATCACAAAAAAATGTCTGCCGGCTGAATTTATCATGCGCTCAGAGAAGCAGTGAAGGATCCAGGTCTGCCGTTCGCCTGAGCCGCCGTGCACACAATAAAACCGGCTAATTGATTGCATGAAAACACTCCTGGTTACCGCCGCCTTGTTTGTGCTTCTTTCTTTTTTTTTTGTTTGCGATATCAGTTTTTCACTCCTGATATGATGCTTTTCTGATTAGTGGACAAATGGCCTAAATAACCAAGCCAAATTACCTAACAGCTGCTGGGCAGGAGAATGGTGGTGTCATGGCAACATTGTCTGCAGACCGGGCTCTGGTGTGGCAAATCAAGAGCTCTGCACACACACACACACAGTTTCTAATCTCCAGTGCCAGAGATTAAGCCCTTGCTTTTGCCAGCTGCAGATTATTTTTGATTAAACGGGCGGTTATAAGTCATGTTTCCAAACTGCAGCAGTATCTGGTCAATAGGAAAAAAGGAAATGTAAGGACTGGAGTTGGTCTGTTTTGCCTACAAAGTGTGATCTGATGCATTTGTTCGATATAACAACACATACTGGGATGTATTTTAGAAACGACTGATTAGTTATACCCTCTGTGTGACTCAGACAAACAATGACTGAGAATCCAGTTGTAAGCTCAGCACAGTTTCACACCTCAGTACTAGAGGCTGTAAATGTGTGGATGTGGAGTGTTGTCACTGGTGCTTTCTCTAAGAATCCAAACCAAAACCCATCTTTTCAGCTGCCTGTATGGCCGGTCGTAAGTGCCTAAATTGGAAAATGAGAAAAAAATTTGTCCAGCTGCAGAGCAAACTGCAGGTGGAGGCTGACTCACCTCAGGGTGAAAATCTGCACTGAAGAAAGCGTGGAAAGAGCCAGAAAAGTCGAGACGGTTTCTCTCTGCCGGATGGGTTTGGAGGGCACCATCACCACGAAGTTATTGTCCAGCTTCAGCTCCGACAGCGGCTGAAACAGCCTGACGCTCCCGATGCGCTGCATAGGAGTGTGCCCTGCGAAATAACCCATCGGCCTCTGCTGGTCCACGCGAACCGAGCTGGCCTTTCTCGAATCCTCGGAGCTGCAGTCTCCGCTGTCCGTGGTTTGAACCATGTAGTAGAGCTCCACGGGAGTGCCCTGGGCCTGCTCGGACACTCTCTGCCTACCGGGCCTGACAGTGGGTGGGCTGAACCAGCTGGCCAGAGGCTCCAGCTCGGCAACGCATATACCCAGCTCACCTTTTAACCTGCATGTCCCACGCACCTCTTGAGTCTCGTGAAAGGCGAACATCCTCACGCAGGGCAGCTTGTGGATGGCGCTGTAATCATCCCAGTCCCTGCCCGCGATGTAGAACAACACTTGAACTTTGGGCCAGCTGGGGTGAATCCTCTCGCTGATAATGTAAGTGTGGACCTTCCAGTTGAATGTAAAGAGAGGCGGCGAGGACGCTGATGTTGGCACCGACGATGACGGGGTGAAGGAGGGTGCGTTAAACGGCCCTGGCAGCGTCTGCAGCAGCTCCAGAGGGACAGGCTGCTGGACAGACAGCGGCCCGTAGCTAGCGTTGACGAAGGGCATCTGGCGGGCCTGGTGGATGAAAAAGGACTCTGTGCGAGCCTGCAGGCTGGAGTTCCTCATTAAGTCCTGGTTTGCCTCCTGTAAGAAGAACGCTGACTCGGCGCTGAGGATCCGGTAGCTGACAGGCAGATAGATCGGCGTGGGGCCGTATCTCTGCAGGCCCTCCAGGATCACCTTGCTGTCCACCACTGAAACAGAAAATGACAACAACACATTAACCTTTGCATCGACCACCTGGAACCACTCGCGGCTGCTTTTTACGAGCACGATTCTTTGTCTAGACCTCATCACCGAAACCTGATCCAGGCATGAAATCAAAGAGCAGACTGAGAAAAATTGAATGAAATAACTCCCAAAAATGGACACAGGCGCTTCACGTTTTACATAACATTTGCATGCATTGCTTGCAACCTTAGGCAATCATATCTACAGTCAGTTCCAGCGGTGAATGTTAAACGGTTTGTTGGAGACATTTCCATGTGATATCACTTTCACGAGCCACTGCTCTTATTTAAAAGAATTTGTTAGACTTAATTCAAAACACTTGCGTCTTACTCAGACATTTGCTTATCAGGCTTGTCCATGTTCCCTTCTGTGCTCAATCCTTTTCATTGTGATAAACTCGATCTGTTTTTTTTTTTTTCTCCTCCCCTCTCCTTCAGTTTCTTTCATTTTTTTGTCTATATAGACTTTATCATCTGCTTCTTCTCTCCCGCATCCCTCCATCTATCACTCCAACATTGTCTTATATTTCACCACCGTGAGGGATGGAACGCTGTCATTAGGTCCTCCAACCTCGACAAACATATATATCTCCTGATTCTAGTGGGGGAAGAACATTTCATCAACGTGGAGAAGGTTTGGTTGCCGCAAAGGCAGCTCGGATTACGGTTTGGGTTAAAACAAACGGGCATGAAAAGCGCTCTCGAGTGTTATTAGACGTCTGAACCGGCATCAGTTGAGTCCACAGCTCACGAGCAGGCTTCTAATGTTTACCAGCAGTCATTACCAAAGTGGTGGGCTGCAGACAAATCGTTGAAATGGCAACAGTGAGCAAAAATACAGGTTAATAATGACACCAGCTGACATTTAACAAGAGTGATGACAGGAAAAAGTTAAATGCATTTGCCTCTTTCACCTCACTCACTGTCTCTCCTTCTCCCACGCACCCTCGGGGAGCTTCACCTAATGCAGAGCATCACGCTTCTTCCTGCATGTTGGCAAAGCATGCGCCGGATGCATTTATGTTGGAGTTCATTTGTGCTTTTATTTATTATGGTTTAGGCGACTTTGTCCTTCCCTTCTGCTCGCTTTCTATCGGAAACAACAGCAGCCAGGATAGCAAGCTAGCACACAAACAATCATGCAGAGAAGCAGCTAGTTTTTTTTATTCCCCCCCAGTGGATTAGCCGTTTTTTTGCTGCATGCCAAGGTTTCACCAAAACGATTCCACCCTTTGCTTTGCTTCGCCCAACATGATTCTGACTGGTTCAAAGAAACACAAACAAGCCAGGGTTGTTTTGTAGGCCAGACCCTGATGTACCACAGGCCTGCTTAGGGAGACCAGAATCAACCAAATGGCTTCATGTCATCTCCTCTGTGACCTACAACAACCTCTGAAGATGCTCACGTGTATCTATCCTTACAGGAGCATCAAGTTTTAGCCACGTCACAGCAGCTTTCTACATCTACTGCTCTTTTGTCTCAATGCAGCACACTTTTAAACCCGGACCATCCAACCTCACCAGGCCTTACCACGGCCCTAAAAGCTGCCTCTAATCCTCCTCCCCCACCCACCCCCTCTCCTCATCTTGCAAATCCTCCTCATCGCCTCTTTTCTCTTCACCATCAAGCAGCGGGCTTCAGATATTTGGACTGATGGAGTGGCCCATGAGAGCCCATTGATTTTCTGTCTTGAACCTTATGTGCTGTGGGAGATGTGGCGTGGTAGTGATTTGTGACAATCCACGGCCGCAGAGCAACGGCTGGCTCGCCGGACGGACAGAGGAGGCAAAAAATAGGACGAAAAGTTAACCTTTGTTCCCAAAACGTTGCTTTAACATAATGTTTAAGATAAAACTGGTGTTCATATGAAATCAATACATCAATCTTTTTTTATTTTTTTGTTGAAATTCCAAAAAATCTTCAGCTATTTTTTTAACTGACTATATGTTGACCAATATATAATTACATATGGCTTATGTACACGTATGACCTCCTAAAAGGACAAAGTCCCAAAAAACCAGACGCCATGCCTCGCTCTGTGCCGGTCTATTTATAGTCAAAGGGCACGCTATGGACAGCTCCTGTTGCTGAAATTACATTTTCATTATCTACCTTTCATTTTGTGTGTGTTTGAGGGATGTCTTTAACCGGGAAGCGCCGTCTTTGCCGTTAACTCGGCCGAACGGAGGCCCTGGAGAGTCGCCGTCAGATCCCTCTTCATTACGCATACGTGTGTTAAGCGTGTGCAGAGCGGCGAGGTCCATTGTCTATTGTGGTTTTGTTAACAGGTCAGGATGTGGATTCAATGCCCAGAAATCAGCAATCACCCACATGGCTTCCATTATATTCTGTAATCCGTTTGTTTGTGTGTGTGTGCGTCGGCCGGCCAAATGAAAAACAGCCGCACGGCTCGAACCTAATTTCAAGCTTCTGTCTTCCTTATAATCATATGCATTAATAGCAAAATGTCTGATATGAGTAACAAATGGAAATAATAACGGCGAATCATAAATATAAATTAGTTGCACTTTTCTCCCGAGCAGTTGCTTTTATGTTTGTATTCATGCTGCAAATCTTCAAAGTTAAACTGCCGTTTTTATACACCGGCGGCGTCCCCAGTGGGGAGGATGTAAAGACCTTCACGGTGCGGCGGCGCGCGGTGAGCGACTGCCGTTGCATAGTTTTGACAATGTTTACCCTCAAAAGTGACAAAACCGAGACCAATGTCAAGAGGGGAGCAGGTGCTTAGTCGGTAGTGGATCATGCTTACGGCGGAGTGAGAGGCTTTTCCTGTCTGCGCTCTCCTCTGGGGGATGTAACACACTGTCCCAGTTTCTACTTACTATGACACAGATGAAACTAAATACCACATTACAGCAGAAAAAAAATGCTGTAATTTGTAACTTCAGATTTAGAATATGTCCCTCGCCATGACACCAATAGGACGTCGTAAATAGAGTGAGCAAAGCCGGCGTGATTTGCGGCCCCGGGTTGCCCTTGGATTTCATGTCTGCGGCTACTGTACTTGTAAATCATGTCTGCAGGACTGTTTCCGCAAATGAAAAAGGGAATGATTTGTGTAGATAACTTAACCTCTGTGGTAAATCCTGGCTGTAAACTCCTGTGGTGGATTTTCTGAGCGCTGCCAAACCCTCAGGACGTGGGCCGAGGAGTCTGATCACATATCAAACATGCGGCTGAACCGGACTTCATCATTAGACAGATGTTAGATTCAGGATTTAATGTCTTGATGTTATATTCATGCGGTGCGAGCCACGGGGCCCACAGGAGCGCGGGGTTACAAATTAAAACGCATTTAAAACATTTTCCATGTCATTCCTACAGCAAGCAACTGCTAAAATAAACTCTAAAGGAAAAAAAAAGAAATGGTATTAAAGCATTCATGTCCCCGAGACAGACATGTGTGGCTTCAAATCAAACCGTTTCCTCTAATCACCTGTTCTCATCCCTGGCGACCTGAGCAGAACTTCACCCAAGAAGTATAATCCCTTCATCTTCCCTCCCTCCTCCTCTCATCCTATCTTTATCCTCCACCATGTGTGCATCTTGCAGCCACTCCCCGATCAAACATATTAACTTGGCTGACTTCGGTAATACATTAATCAAGCAGATTTTCCTATATAAAATAGATGGAGGGGATGAAGGTAAGAGGTGGGAATACGAGCGGCAGCAGAGGATGGAGACGGGAAGTGGGAGGTTTTCTTCTTGTAAGTGCTCGGAGAAAGTCAAAGATTACAGCAAGAAATGATGTGCATGGCTCACATGCCTCCTTCATTGTAGGACCGGGTTTAAAATTAGACTTGTTTTTCTCGCGCAGCCGTCATAAATGCAGCCGAACATTTTTCTCTCGCTAAGGTACGCTGGAAGCACCTGTACAACAGTTCGCTGCTTTTTCAACGTGCTGCTGATGCAACTCCTGTTCTTTCACCCGAAAAAACACAAACCACAAGTGGACACGGCCGACGGGTAAAAATGTAAATCCGGTCCATCTGCCCATCTATAATTTACCGCAAACTGTTCGGTTTTCGATCCTTAACGGGCTTTCAGATGTTCTAATGCATTACCAAGAGAAAGACCAAGAGCGGCAATTATGCATTCGTGCGAACTGGCAAAGCCTGATATAGCCCTTTGTGCCATACCGCTCCATTGTTGTCCAAAAAACTATTAAGAACACATTAGTGTGACGCACCGCTGCACAGGTGACATGTTACCTCATTACCATGAGAATCGACACCGCATAGACTTAATCCTACAGACACAGTCCCGGTGCCCACATGAGATTAATCCACAGCTGAAAGTACCCTTTAATAAAAGCACCGTGCATGAGTAACACATTCTGAGTGAAAAGTCTCGGCAACTATTCATTGAATTCAGTTTAGATATTCGTGTCGCCCTGAGAATGAACTGTAATAACTCGAACGACGATCCCTTTGGTGCAGATCAAGTTTTATTTTTTCACCTTGTTAATGTGCTGGTTTTTATATACTGGATGTAATATCAAGAGCAAAATTAGCAGTTAAAGCCGCGGCTGAGCACTTCTGCCGAGAAGCTGCAGTGCAGGGATGACAGTCTAAAAAAAAAAACAGGCAGTCAAGGTTTTATACGACTAACTGAAGGAACCGATCCTGTTAAGAGGACTCTTCGTACCATTCTTCTTCTTCTTCAGAACTGGTTTCTGGCTATGTGTGGCTAAATTACTCCAAAATTACAGAGTAGTTTTACAGTGTTTGTAGGTGAGCTGGTGTGCTCGAGCTGTAGCAGAACAATGGGTGGAGACGGAGGTGGAGGCTACGTAGATCTGCACGTCATAGAAGATGCAACAATGAAGAGTTAAACCATTTCAAGGCATGAAGGGATCATTTTCAGGGGGAAAATAATCTAAATTTTGATATCTGGCTGCAAGGTGGAGCGGTGGGTAGAACCGTTGCCTCGCAGCTAGAAGGTCGCCGGTTCGTGTCCCGGTGAGGACACCAGTTTGCATGTTCTCCCCGTGCAGTGTGGGTTCTCTCCGGGTTCTCCGGCTTCCTCCCACAGTCCACAAACATGCTGAGGTTAATTGATGGTTCTAAATTGTCCGTAGGTGTGAATGTGAGTGTGCTTGGTTGTCTGTCTCTAAGTGTAGCCCTGTGATAGACTGGTTACCTGTCCAGGTGAACCTGCCTTCACCCTGAGTCAGCTGGGATAGACTCCAGCCCCCCATGACCCTAGTGAGGATTAAGCAGTGTATAGATGATGGATGGATGGACGGATGGACGGACGGATGGATGGATGATGTATAGAGTTGAGCTTTTAGGGATTGAATCAATGATTAGAGAGGGATTCATGACCAAATACCTGCAAAGCCAATGACTTTTCCTTCCACTGATCAGCATTAACATATTAAACACTAACACTAGCAAAAGATACCTGCCAACCTGTAGCATAAAACGGTATTGCCATGGCGGACATTTTGCCATTCAAAGAGTGTTAGCATTTAGCTCTAAGCACTGCTGTGCAACCTTACAAAGTATACGAGCATTTCTATTGTTTGTTGTTACAGTACAACTAGATATTTCTCCCTATTTGCCTTTTTGTAAAGAACTGATGTTTCTACTGAGCTCGGCCTTGAGTGCAACGGATAAGATGGGAAAGTGGGACAATACAACGAGACTGACTGCTGCACAATTCGTTCAGTTTTTTCCACTGAATCTGTAAGCTGAGTATCAGGCTGTTGCATCAAGATCTTGCAAACGGAAAAAATAACACAATTTAAGGTTGATTTTTTTGCTTACTAATCCTCTGATGACCAACGTGGGTCAAAAGTGACTCAGTCGAAGGATTTTCTCTCTTTTCTTTGCGTCTTATGAATTCTGTTATTCAAAATTTAAGGAATTTCTCAGCCAAAGTTATTTTAATTTTATTCTTACATTAAAACATTTTTTGTGTCATGCACATCACGGGTTAAACTTGTATGTGTTCTCACTGGAATCTGACCGGAACTTTTGATTTGTTTACACATTTCTAAATAGAAAACCTTTTTATTATCCCCAACAAATATCAGTCTTATCTACAAGACTGCCTTTCAGCAGCCCGTGCACGGGGAGTTTCATTGTATTTTCCACCTCAGAGTGAAGTAAAGGCCAAGCTAAATATGTTTTTTTCTTTTGGCACATACTCCGGCACGCTCTTGGGTTTTTCTCAGCATCATCACCCTTTTCCAGCAGCCTTGCAGGAGTTCCCCCATGCCGAGCAGAGCCTAACTCATCTCAAACATCACAAACCATCTTGTGGAGGCCATTTCATCTAATACACCACCCCATTACTCTCCTTTCTCTTTTCTCTTTCTCCATTTGCTGTTGTTTTTTTTTTTCTCCTTCCCAACTGCACTTGAAGAAACTATCAGACCTTTAAGGCCCGTCCCTCAGGCCTTAAAGGTCCCATATTGTTCCCCCCTTTTCAGCAAATTACTCAAAGTCTCTCACGTCCCCACAGTGTGTCTTTCCTTTTTATTTTCTGCTCAGAATACTGCAAAGACGGTATATCTCACCAAGGCTGTAGAGCTCCTGGTTTTAGGGCCTTTCTAAACCGGCTGCAGTTGTTTCCACGTCCTTCAGGTAGAACAAGTTCTCTGCGTCGGTGATTGATGGTTAGGAGCTGGATGACTATTGGTTAGTTCTGTGTTGCACTTGGGTTGAATTCTGACTAACTTGTAAAGCTGGGGGGCTAACTAGTTGTCAGGGGGCTTGGGGGTTGCCTTTAGTTAGGCTTTTTTCCTCTTTTTTTTTCCCCTTTCTTTTTTTTACCACCCTTTGTTGAGGGTTTTCATGACATGGTGCCTTTAAAGTAATGATCCACTGCTGTTTCTCTTTACTTAGTTGAGTGATTTTTGCAATAACTTGGATGACTACATTAGCTGAACAAGGCTACTTGCAAGATACCAACACTATACTGGCACAACACAACTGCCCTTAAGTAATGAAACTCCACCAGGTACCTGTTGGTCCATTCCAGGTGATGAGATAAAGACAGTTGACCTGTTGCGTTAGCTAACTAGCTGCTGACCTGGGCTGCTTTAGCTGGCGAAGAGACTTCTGACAGCAAACTGTTGACCTTTTGGAATCCTTTTGGATTCTACAAAGTAAATACAAGCCAAAGATAAAGCCCAAATAGAATACAGTAGGCGGCTGTGGCTCATGTTGTAGAGCGGGTTGTCCACTAAATGCAAGGTTGGCGGTTCGATCCCCAACCCTCCACAGTCGAAGTGTCCTTGGGCAAGACGTTGAACCCGAAGTTGCTCCCAATGGCCGGCAACACCTTGCATGGCAGCTCAGTCACCATTGGTGTATGAATGTAATCTACTCTCAAATGTGCGTCGCTTTGGATAATATTATATTATATTAATATAACTTGGAGATGTTCTACTGCAGAGATCTCCAGCTCCGGTCCTCGTGAGCTCCTGTCCTGCAGGTTTAACACTCCTGACTCAGATTACTGGATCATTAACAGATTTGTGTAGAACTTGACAACAAGCCGTTGGAGATCCATTAATGTGAGTCAGATGTGTTGCAAATATCTAAAACCTGCAGGACAGTAGCTCACGAGGACCAGAGCTGGAGATCTCTTTTGTTCCTTATCGACTGGCATTGACCAAAGGACTTCTACCCAGAAAACTTGATTCAACACTTGTAATGTGGAATTTTCTGTCACTTTTTGCTTTTGTTTGTCCAACAGAACTACTCTGTTTAGGTTAAAAACTACTTAGTT